CTCAGCTCTTCAGCTCAAGCCTAGCGCTCTACCACTTGAGGCACAGCTCCACTTCCACCTTTTTCTTTTTGCTTATGTGGTGCTGAGGAATCGAACCCAGGGCCTCATGCATGCAAGGCAAGCGCTCTACCACTGAGCTACCTTCCCAGCCCCATAGTTTTGTTTTGTTTTTAATTTAGGAGGTGCTTACTCAAATACTTTCCCTACCTCATAGAATGCCTTGATTTAAAATATTTTAAATCACCCAATTTGGATATGAATCTAAAATTACTCTAAATAGTAAAGTCTTAAAAAAAAACAACTAAAGCCAATGTCACTTGGAAAATATTTTAAATCAGGTAATTTTTTCTTCTTTTTCTTTCGGTACTGGGGATTGAACTTGGGACTTTGAACAAATAAGGCAGTGCTCTACCACTGAGCCATACTTGCAGCCTCAAACCAAGTAAAAGGCACACAGGAAGGCAATGAAGGGAAGGCTTCTCTTCTACCTCTCCTCATCACGTGACCCCACCCACAGTTACACAGTTACCTTTTTTTGGTTGGTTGTGGGGCTTGAACTCAGGGCCTGGGCATTGTCCCTAAGATTTTTCACTCAAGGCTAGCACTCTACCACGTTGAGCCACAGCTCCACTTCCAGTTTTCTGGTGGTTCATTGGAGAGAAGAGCCTCAAGGACTTTCCTGCCCGGGCTGGCTTTGAACCACGATCCTCAGATCTCTGTCTCCTGAGTAGCTAGGATTACAGGCGTGAGCTACACGTGCTGGGCTCACAGGTCCTATTTCTTATCTATGCATACACTCCTCCCAGACATACAGTCCTGACTTAACCTTCATGACAGTTAAACAATGTCTTCCGAGGAAGATTTCATCCTGGTTCTTTGCTCACTAGTTAACCCACAACCCATCCAACAAAGCCCAAAGAATATCTGTCTTCCCTCACCATCTCCAACAACGCCTCCCAAGTCCACCTGCTCACTTACCTGTCAGAAACAGCACAAGGCTTAGTATCACCACTTGACTGCGCATTATGGCGTTGACCTGAAGAGAAAGAAGAAGACACATTGGTTGACTGTGCCCTGCCCTGCCTCCCCCATCAGATGATACCTGAACAGGTCTTAGTTCCCAGAGTGCACCTTCTCCTCTCATCCTGTGTGAATCACACGAGCATGCTCTGCTAGGGAATGAGAGGCAGCCACATCCAGAGGACAGGGAGAGCTGTCCTCAAACAGCTCATTTCCCAGCCATTCATCTGACTCAGAGGACAAGGTAGCAAACTAAAAAGAAATAGAACAGAGCCCAGGCCCAGAGTTCAAGCCCCATGACCGACAAAATAAAATTAAAATAAAAAGAAATGGAAGTCAGAGGTGAGAATATGGCAGAACTCAAGGGCCAAGACCAGCCTTTTAATGGCACTGATGTACCTACCCTCTGGTGGGCATGGGCTACATCTGCTTGCTGACCACTATGATTGTCCCTCCCCTGAACTGTTCTCTTACCAGGTTCACCATTGGCCAGATGAACTGAGCAAGAATAGGAAGCACTTGGTCTAAGCACTCATGCCACTACAAACAGTGACTCGGATGATATATTCCGAAAGCATGTCAATAGAAGACTTCAAGAAGCATCCAAATCAGACCTGAGCCCTGTCGTTCACAAAGCTGGGGACTCTTGAGAGTTACAGGCCCTTCGAAGCCTTGATCTCATCATTTGAAAAACAGCACTAAAATTACTCGTTTCATCTCTCATCAAGGGGCTGGTACAACCAGCAGTAGAACTTTGAAAACTACCTTTAAATATGTGTTAACACCCTTCGCTAAGCTTTCCAGGGGAATCTGTAATAAAACAGATGGCCGTGTACTACTTACCAACATTGAGCCCTCGCCAAAGCTCAGAGGGTTGCTGCAAACCCTTTTCATGGAGGAGGAAGTTGAGGCTCGAGAGGTGTGAGCATTGTCTAGTTTCCAACCTTCGGGTTTTAAATTTTTACTCTTAATCGTTAATCCATACGGATATGAGTAAGCCAGATTGGTACTTCATTAACTCCTTCTGGCCTCAAGATTCAGTAACTTCATGGTGGGGGCGGAGGGGAGAGCAGGGGAACAGGAAATAAGGTTGCCCACTTCCGGCCTCACAGCCCATGACAGGTTACATGGAGACATGGGGATCTTGGTGTCCCCATTGCCCAAGACCACTCCAGCCGTGATCTATTATTCAGAGTCCCTTAGAACCTTTGTATTTGGAAGAAAGCAGAAACATAATGTTACAAACTGGTGCCCTCAGCTCCTAAGATTCTACTTGGCCTGCAATGGTGATTTAGCTAACAGAGTCTATGTAAAATTCAGCTTTTTGATTTTTTTGTACAATACAATTAGATCCCATGCATAGCCCATCCACTCCCTCAGAGTTCTGCAGCCTGGTCTAGCCCACAGGCCCAAGTGGGAGGCTTCTGTGACCTAATCCAGGCCTTGGCAAGAAGGAGGGCTTTGCCTGCCTCAGATGTCTCTTCATGTGCTTGAACTCAGGCTCCGTCTTGTCACTGGGCCCCTGTCACTGGTGATCTGATGGGCTATTTATCGGTTGGCATTCTCCTCTCCCACAAGATGGAGGGGCTGGGTCGTGATCTGTAACAGCCCTTACAAATTCCAAAGCCCAACTTCCTCTAGCTCTTGAATTCAACTGGAGAGGAAGACTAGATCTACCCCGGAATGTGCACATTTCTGGTTCCTTGATACCCATTCATTCTCTGCCTTTCTATGCTGCAAAGAAACACACCAACCCCGCCTGCTTTTCCAGAATGTGATCGGAAGTGCTGGGAAGAAGGCTACATCTGTGTTGAACATCTTACAGGCGACTAGGATTGTGCGGTTGGAATGTTGGCCAAGAAGCGCCAAAATTATCTTGCGCCATCTTTAACACTTGTAACCGCACCTGCGTTGTGCTTAGAAGGTCAAACTTTTGGGATGCCTCATTAATCTTCATAGATCCCTGGCTTCCACCAACTCTAAAACTAAAAATGTCACAATATCTTCCAAGTCCAGCTATAGCTTGCTGACCTAATGTCTCTACCAACATCCTTGGTAAATATATCACTTTACCACTTTCTTTCATTGTATGAATGGAAAGGTTTGTCTTCCACAGTGGAGATCTCACCTCGGGGTTACTTGAACCCAGGATCCAGACTTTGGTCACTACTGCTTGGCTCAGAATCCATTATCTCTCCTTCCCTTTGTGCCAACAAAAGGTGAGAGAACCAATTCTGACTGACTTATACCTTACTCGTCAGTCATGCCTTAGTTATTTGAGAAGCCAAAGTATTTTATGACTAGTTCTATTATACTCTAAGACTGCACCAGATCCCAGGAGGCCAATAATAAGGACTTTTGAACATTTTAATTCAGTTCAACCACTTATTACCTCATACATTGAGGCTAACAGGGCATGATTCAGTATTCTAACGATGTGAAAAAATCCAGAATTGGGCAATTGGACGGAGACACAGATAAGTGAGCAACAACTAATAAAGTCGGGCAGAGTGACATAATTGGTAAATATATAATCATATGATGTCACCTCCCCTATTTACAACCCTGCCATACCTCTCTCAAGCACTTGGCACGGAGGGATGGCTCTAGGAAAGAACATTGAATTGATTCAATTTTTAGCATTCCCTGCAGATTAACGCTGATTCACACCAAGGGAACTCAGGAGTAGGCAGCGGATTCAATAAGAAGTAGTTCGATGCTCATAGGGTGCCATCATAAAGATAAATGTGAAAGTTACAAGGTGTCCATGTTTATCCCAGAAAACAAATAAAAATATAATACTAAAAATGTACTCCTTTAGCATGAATTTCTTGACTATCTAGAATATATTAGATTTAAATCTGTCCATTCAGGAACCAAAGACCTTTGGCCTCATGCAGCTTATATCTGCCTAGAAAACAAATACCTATAAGTTTGAAGAAAGGATATTACTTATTAGTGCACTGCAAAGTGAAGAGGATGATAAATATAAAAAAAAAAAGAAAGAAAGTCAAAGGCTAAGAAAGGTGAAATTGTTTGCCCACAGTTTACAGACTGTACAATCACAGACAGACTATCTTAGCCATGCATGAATAAACAAGCCAGCAGAGGGGGGGGGGGGAAGAAAGAAAAAAAGGAATCACAGAGCAAGAGCCAGGCAGAGACATGGGAAAAGAGAATTGGAGAGAGCAAAGGTGCATTTTTCCCTAAGGTAATCAGGTTTAGATGGCATTCCTACTACTTTCACTAAATCAAAAGCACAGTTAGCTGAGTCCAAAAGCGCTTTCTAGAAAGGAAGGAAGGAGAAGGCAAAGTCCCTAAGCCAGAAGGGTATCTGGAGTGTTGGAGGGAGTGGTGGAGCGGCTACAATGCAGTGGGTGACAGAACTGCAGGGGAGCAGGCGGGGAGCAAGGAGGGGAGAAGCCATTTCTGGAAGATTCTCTTTGCCCCCTGGAGCCGTTTGTTCCTCCAGAGAAAAAGCCGCCAGTGTCGGGACACAGAGGAGGCAGGACCCCTTTGAAGACTGCCAGGTCAGTGACCCGATTTCCTGCAGGATGTGAAAAGTAGGGGAGCCTTGGATGACTCTAAGGAATTTGGACCTGAGCTAGAAAAGAGAGGAGGCCCCAGCCACCGAGCCGGAGCGAGCGGCATGCATGGGCCATGGGTTTAGGAGGAAATAAATTCTAGGTTTTGGACATGCTGTGAGGATTTTATTTTTAGGCCTGAGACACTGCTGATAGCACTGAGGATGGACTAAAAGTCACACTTGGTAGCCACTGATTTTTAAAATATTCAAGTACAGGTGGTGCACACCTGTAATCCTGGCAAAGATCCAGGGCTACATAGTGAGTCTCTGCATCATTACTCTCCTTCCACCAATTAAAAGTATCTCAACGGCTGGGAAGGTGGCTCAGTGGTAGAGTGTTTGCCTAGCATGCATGAAGCCCTGGGTTCGATTCCTTAGAACCACATATACAGAAAAAGCCAGAGGTGGTGCTATGGCTCAAGTGGTAGAATGCTAGCCTTGAACAAAAGCTCAGGAACAGTGCCCAGACCCCGAAGTCAAGCCTCAGAACCAGCCAACACACACACACACACACACACACCAAACAAAGCCATAAGCCTGAACTAGATACTCAGGAAAGACTGTGGCTACGTGCTAGACCCTGCCCTCCACGCTCCCCCCCCAGGCCCACTTTCCATGAAGCCAAATTTCATAAACTGAAGCGGAACTTCAGGGGTAAATGAGAGCGGTACCAGCACACAGCCAAAAGCAGCCCAAGGAGGTAAGAAGAGCCAGGGAAGCTATCATGGACCTGGAAGCCAAAGAAAGCAAATGCAAAGTTGCTGGCAGGTCCTGAGTGGTCACTGGGGCTTGTCCACAGGACTGAACAACCTAGGCAGCCTCAGTGACCTTCCGAGAGCTAATCAAAGTCTACGGCCATGCTAGGCTGGGAAACATTGGTTACACAGTAATAGATACCTAACTCATAGACGTGAATTCCTATCGGATTGTAAGTGTCTTCTGAGTCTTTGTCTGGTCCTTTGGTTTTGAGGACACTGTGTTATTGAAGATAATTTTGAGAGAGATAGACAGCCACCCAGATAGACAGATAAGATATTGTACCAGGGGTTCTTAACTGTCACATTTCCATATATGCAAACAATACACCTTGATCCAACTCACCTTCTCCATCTCTCTCCTTCCTCTTCCTCGCCCTATTTTTAAGACAGTTTCGACAGATTTCATGCACATGTATAAAATACTTACCACTCTCTCCATTCACCATCCTATCTCCCAAAATGAGACCTTAATCAAGCTTCAGTTATATGCTGATTAATTACACTTGCACAGCAATCTATTTTTAGCAAGAAAACCCTTTGTTTCCTATAGTAATCATTTGTTTGTTTAATCTCAATACATAGCCTAGGCTGGCCTTGAACTCACAGCCTTCCTGCCTCTACCTCCTGAGTGCTAGATTAAATACAGTGCCACCAGGTCTGGCTTTTAGTATCTTCAGGAATAAATGTTTATGAGGAAATCAGTAGGTAGTTGGAATAGGCTTGTAAACTGAGGCTTACAGGAGAGCCAAGATTACCTTGGGCTACCTTTAGTCCCTTCAAATGGCCACTTCTTATCCAACTCAGTATCTGATGAGCTAGTTCACATTTAGATAGAAATCTTAGGATGCATCTTAAGCTTGATACACGGGCTTTGTAACAACGCCAAACCTGGGAATGTGATCAAGCATCCTCTCCATCTGGATTCCTCCCAGCCTGGGCTGGAGACTTCCTTTCTGTGAGTAGACAAGTCGATGTGACCTTCGATGGCAGAGCACATCACTCAGGGTCATGGAACCCAGACCCCCAGAGACATGGTTACTCTTACATGCCTTAGAAGAAACCATTTTCTTATTTCCATAAAACAGAACTGGAGCTTTTATGTCAATGAAAGGAAGATAACAACAAAAACAACAAAAGAGCAACAATGATAAGGGGCAGGTTGGAAAGCAGAGCGCAGCAGAACAGTTTTGGTTTCCTTAATGAGGAAACCAACAACAACAAGAGATCATAGGCGAGATAGGAAAATGATTGAGTAGAGGAAGAAAAGTTTTGCTGAACAAGGGTGAGAGGGAATCAAGGATCCGACCGGAAGATTCCATTTTAATGCACCCAGGGTTTACAACTAGGCAGAAATCATTAAGTTCGAAGTAAGGATGGGGAAGATGCATGAGGGACCTGGTAGAACTTTCGGGGCACAACCCTGAGATAGCATCTGGGTGTCCAGGAAAGTATGGGGTCCTGAGAGGTAGACAGTCTAAGAGGGTGACTCTCCAGCCCTCTCCCCAGCCACCAGCCCAGAGGGAGGAGTAGAGAAAGCCTCATTAGCAGATAGCTATTTTTTTTAA